TCCAGACCCAAGTCCAATTTCTTCAAAGATGTTCCTTGTTCACTCTTATGGAACTTAAGCTTTTTGAAAAAGATGAATGGGTGTTAATGGCTTGTAGTTGAGGTGGCACAGGTTATCTAGTGCTCTTTCTATAGTTATGCTGCTACAGTAGCAGCCATTCAAAATTACCCTTCCTAGTCAAATGCCAGGTGCCAACTTCCCTTCAGCTCCCTGCTTAATCTCCAACTTTCAGCCACCTGAGTGACTTCCTCTTGCATATTTTCTTTACTCTGACTCCAACTTTCACTGAATTACAGGTTCTGGCCAGGAGATGATGCGTCTCTTTAGAGCTTAATGCCCACAAATCATGACAGAAATAATATTTTAGTACAAATATTGATGTTTAAAAAGGAATTGTAGGGGACCAGCCAAAGACCAGCCAAGGGCCCATCAAGGAAAGTGGGGAAATTTTGAATGGCTACTACTGTATAGGCTTCGACTGCTGGAGGACATAGGGATCCCTTTTTCATCATTCTGCTCCACTCTATCTATCTCTGTATTCCCCCACTCTGTAGAATTTCTTAGTTCAATCTCTAACTATGTTCTCTCTGCTTTTTCTCATAGTAGCTTCATCTGGTATGTTCCTGCTTGGCTGTCATACCATCCTGGAGAGAAATATCAGCTGTGCTGCTGCCATCAACATGTTTATAGATGTTTGAGATCAGCCTGTTTTCAATGTAGTCATGTTTCTCTGACTCTGACTCTGACTAACTGTATGTACTCTCTTCATCCTCTGACATGGGAGCTGGCTTGGAGCTCGTCCGCCTGGTTGTGTGTTTCCTGGACTGGGCCACCTGTGAAGCTGGTTGACAATTGCCTTTTGTATCTCTGCTTCTTTCTGTATGTCTGCTTCTGTCTCCTTGAACCCCAATCGGATATTAAACATCTGTATGGTACAATGTAATTACCCCTGAAACCCTACAAATTCAGAGTTTTCTTGTAAAAAAAAAAAAAGTTGAAAAATTCAGAAGTTGTTAATACTTTAGCAAGACGACATGTTTTCTCACTTAGAAAATAATCTATTTTTATGTGATATTTTTTCTTGTCCAATGGTGAAAAAGTAGCGACAGTTTTGATATTAGTTAAACAGCAGCAGCATTAGAGTGTGTACCTCAGGTGGTCAGAGTGCAAGTGGCTGATGTAGATAAGATCGGCTGCACAGAGTCTATCCAGACAGTCTGCCGGGGGCTCGTGAAGAAGCCACCAGCCTCGGGCAAAGGCAGGGCCCCTCAGCCATGGATCGAACAGGAAGCGCTTCTGTCCAAATTGCAGCTCCATGCAGGCGTGGGTGAAATATGTTATCTGAATGAAAGTTAAAGCTTTAAATGTTTGTACAAGCAATCCATATTCTTTTTAGAATACTTCCTCAAAGCTTAGATGAAAAAGCTCCTACTTTTACTTCTCCTGGCTGAAGCTCCTGACACTCTCTGGGATCAGTTAGCCACGGATCAATGGGGTTCAGCTCCACTAGCTGCATCCCTCCATCATCTAAGAGTTCAACCTCTGTGAAAGTGGATTAAAAAAATTATATCTGCAAACCTGATAAATTATATCCAGTTTTAAATGTTCTTGTGAGCTGTTTGCATGTAGATAATTATTAAATATGTAATTTTCATAAATTCAGAAACCATTCAAAATTGAATATAGAATAAAGTTGCCTTTCACTCATCTTACCAAGTTCCTCCTGAAGGAAGCTGTCAGGCGGGTTCACATATTTCATTGATGAGACGTTTAATTTCCAGTTATGCTTGGTGCATTTAACTGTCCTGTAAGAGCAGACCAGTGCATAAGTTGTAATTAGAAGTATTCATTTCATAACGCAGCTTTTTTTTTTTTTTTTTTTTTTACAGATGTGTCCTCACCTGCCATCCAGGTCTTCTATGTCCTTGATAAACAGCCCCCCTTGATGTTTGCACTGATTTTTGCATGCTTTGAAGCCATCACTGCTCTTGAATATGATGTAACATTTCCCATCATTGGGGTTTTTCTTGAAGTTCACGCCATCTTTGATTGAGTTCACATCTTTAGCGTCCAGTGACAGCACAACCTTGGATGTTTGGGCAGCCATTTTTTCCTAAGAACATAATTTAAGAATTTAGGAGAAAACTAAATATTTACTGGTCCTTTTACGAAAGTTAACAATAAGTTCTGATACACTGGAAATTTCTGGACACAGCTGTTCATTTTTTTTTTTATTATATGTCAAAGTTGTGACCTATGAGACAAATTGTTCATATTGGGTCATTAGGATCTCTGACATAAATCTAACTCTTTCCTTTGAAGCATTTTTCCCTAATTGGAATGGTTATATAGAAACTTTCTTCACCAAATCAAAAAAGTAGCTTAGGTAATCAGGTATTCAAAACTCCACACAAACTTCCTGAGTCTTTTTAGTATTAACCAATTGAGGATTTTTCCCACTGCTGGTTTATAGTTTACTTCGACTTATTTTGAACAAGATAAAGCATGCACATTACATTTATAATGCAACAAGGTTTCATATTACCATAAAAAAAAAAAAAAA